TTTTTTTCAAAATATGTGGGTTAACCCCTACAGAAAATCTAGTTTTTAATAAATGCTATATTAAGAAGTTTAGGCTCTTTATTGTTGATGAAAATTCCCAAATCAGATTCTAAATTCGTATTAATGTATGATAAGATTATTTTCATGGCACATGGACATCATCTCAAATTTTCCAACAGGTAATATATATAAATTTCATTTTTTTTTTTTTGAACGGCATTCTATTAAATTTTAAACCAAAGTTAACCTGAAAGCAGAGACGGTGCATACAGAGCGCTTTTCGCAAGGGCATCTGCAGCTGAGTTTTTTGAGCGAGAAATAAAAACAAAGGAGATAACAGAGAACTCAAGAGACATGCTAAGAATATCGTGGATGATTCCAAACAGTTCCTTTGGTGGGTTCTTGTCGTTGATAGCTCTGACCAAAGTCTGAGCGTCTGATTTCACTAAAAGGTTGGAGTAATTCTTCTTACTGGCCTGAACCAAAGCTTCTCGAATCGCCAAACCTTCCGCCATGAGTGGAGATGATACGAACAGCTCAACTCTACTTCCCGAAGACAAAACGCTTCCTGAAGGTGCCGAGAAGATCCATCCGAGACCCGCCATATTTGTTCCTTCCTTCCATGCCGCATCAGTGTGCACACAGATGGAATTCCTCAGTTCCAGGGGGGGATATGGTGTCCTCGTCGTGGCTCTCAAAATCGCTGGATTTTGCTCATGTGTTTCTAATTTCCTTTGCGCCTCCTGCCACTCACGTGCCAATTTGATTGCTCTCAAACAAGTATCTTCCGCAGTGGACGCTCTGTTTTCAAAGATTAGATGGTTTCTTGAAGTCCATATAGTCCAGCAAATCCAAGGAAACAGAGGTCCACCCGTCAGCCCATGTGGTGGTAGTGTGATGAGATGTTTTGAATCTTTCAGGGCTTTCTCAAAGTTTGGTGCAGCACTAATGACTTCGGAATGGAGAAACGGTGCTAACTTCCATATTTTCTTTGCGAAGCTACATTGTAAGAAGAGGTGGGATGCTGTTTCGCGGACGCCACAGTGGATGCAGTTTGTATTTGCTGTAAGTCCTCTCTTCTGAAGATTCTCTCCCAGCGGCAAAGCTCCTTTGACAATTTTCCAGAGGAAGACTCTTAGTTTCGGTGAGAAGTCTCCATTCCAGATGTCGGAATTCCAGTTGACAAGCTGTTGTTGAGGCCTACTAAAATGCACCGATTCTTTCATTGCTATTCCTGTATAGTAACCTGTTTTTGTGGTGAACACTCCATCCTTTGTTGGGAGCCAAGATAACTCGTCCTGTTTTCCACGCTTACTCGGTTTGATGCACAAGATTTGTGGCGCAGCGTCAGGTAGGATCTTCTCAATTAAGTCGCGCTTCCAATCCCCTGTGGCTGGGTTGATGAGGTCGGAGACTCTCCAGTCTTTTGTATGGAGAGTAGCTGGTCCCAAGGGGCGAGTTGGAGTCGATGATGACAGCCAAGGGTCATCCCACAGCCTGGTATCTCGTCCATTGCCTATTGCTACCCCTAGGTTCTCCAAGAGTAAATCACGACCGCATAAGATACTCCTCCACCCGTGTGATATCGACGCCGAGGCTGGAACTTGGAGAAAAGATTGGTGATTGCAATATTTGCCCAGTAGTACTCTGGCCAGTAAACAGTCCGGTTTGGTGGCAATTCTCCAACTCTGCTTAGCAAGTAACGCCACATTAAAGGTCTCAATATCACGCAATCCTAANAGAGTAAATCACGACCGCATAAGATACTCCTCCACCCGTGTGATATCGACGCCGAGGCTGGAACTTGGAGAAAAGATTGGTGATTGCAATATTTGCCCAGTAGTACTCTGGCCAGTAAACAGTCCGGTTTGGTGGCAATTCTCCAACTCTGCTTAGCAAGTAACGCCACATTAAAGGTCTCAATATCACGCAATCCTAAACCACCCTCTCCTTTTGATTTCGCCAGTTCCGAGAAAGCGACCCAGCACATCTTACGCTCCTCAGGGTTTGCATCCCACCAAAACCGGGTGAGGGCTGACTGGATCCGCTTGATAAGACTAAGAGGAAGTTTAAAGCAAGTCATAGCATACGACGGAATAGGTGACAAAACCGACTTGAGCATTATCAACTTCCCCGCACTTGACAATTTCTTGGTGCTCCAATTTGCCGCCTTCTGTCGGATACGATCGACAATTGACGTGAAGAGATCTTTTTTCTTCCGTCCGAAGTGTTCGGGGAGCCCTAGATATTTACCCATTCCACCTTCTTTAGTAATCCCCAAACTGTTTTGAACTCTGGTTTTAACGTCTGGTGGAGTCTTCCTGGAGAATGTGATAGAGGATTTCGGAGTGCTGATCATTTGACCCGATGCTCTCTCATATTTGATCAAAATCTCCTTTAGAGTATCCACGCTTCTCTGCGATGTCTTAGCAAAGAACATCGTGTCGTCGGCGAAGAGGAGATGGTTGATCCTCGGGCTGCCTCGAGCCACTCTGACCCCAGCAAGGGTTCCTTTGTGCTGTGCCACCGAGCATAGACCAGACAGAACCTGGCTGCATAAGATGAATATATAGGGTGATAGGGGATCGCCTTGTCTTATCCCCCGTTCTGGTACAATATAACCCTGCGCCTCCCCATTGAACAATACCGAATACGTCACAGAGGTGATACAACTCATTATTCGCTGGCAAAAAACCTCGTTGAGCCCAAATCTTTTTAACACCGCTTCAATGAAGTTCCATTCTAGCCGATCGTAAGCTTTGCTCATATCAGTCTTCACTGCCATAGCACAGTGTTTTACAGCTCCCGATCTCTTCAGAAAGTGAAGCGTTTCGTGTGTAATCATCACATTGTCCGCGATTGCTCGTCCTGGTACAAAGGCCGACTGATTTTCTGAGATAATCGCATCCAGTATAGGTTGAAGCCGTCTGGTGATGATCTTAGAAATGATTTTGTAGTAGACATTGGTCAAGGCTATTGGTCGGTAGTCCGAGACTACTTTTGGTGACAGTATTTTTGGGATTAGCCGGATGTGAGTGTGGTTGATGTTGCTTGGCAGTGTCCCTGTAATGAAGAATGTCTTGATCTCTCTAATTACTGCCGGTCCAACAGTACACCAATTTGTTCGAAAGAAGCCTGCTGAAAACCCGTCAGGTCCCGGTGCCTTATCGGGGTGGACGGAGAATATTGCTGCTTTGATTTCGTCATCAGAAGGTATTGCCGAGAACTCCTCATTCTGCTCGTCGGTGATTGATGGAAATATCGCTTCCTCTACGATCTCAGTAGCGTCAGTGTTGCTGGACTTAAAGAGATTGTGAAAATAATCAGAGATTACTTGCATAATTTCTTGCTCCTCGAACACTGCGTTTCCATGGTTATCTTCTATCACCGAGAACTTGTTAATTGCATATCGTTGTCGCGTCGTAGCATGAAAGAAACCAGTGTTTCGATCACCTAAAGCGAGCCAAAGGGTCCGGCTCCGCTGCCGCCAGAATTCTTCTTCCTCTGTATAAGCTTTCCTCAGTCGGGCATTGATGTCCGTTATCAGAGCTTCATTTGGGGAATGACTAGCCATTGCCGCCTCCAGGTTGGCTTTTTCTTGGTTAATTTGCCGTTGGCTGTTTACATGATGGTCGCGGTTCCATTTAGATATTGCTGATCGACATGCTGCAATTTTACTCTCCACTGAATCTCCATTTTCCAGCCAAGCTTTTGCAATGAGTTTCTTCACTTCCTCGTTTTTACCAAGTCTCCTGTCATAGCGGAAGAGACCTTTCTTTTTTCTCGTGTCTGGTTCTAAGAAGGTAATGACTGGCCTATGATCCGATCCTCCGAAATTTAGGTAAGAGCAGCGTCCTGATGGAAAAATTTCTGCCCATAAGCTGTTAGACAGAGCTCTATCCAGCCGGCAATGAACTGTATGTGAATGCCTCACTCCCCTCCAAGAGAGGAAAATTCCCGAGTGTCGTAAATCATATAAATCGCACTGAGACATGAAGGTTCTGAAGTCAATGAAAGTACCCTCCGCCCTGGCTGGTCCACCTTCTTTTTCAGAATTGTCGATGATATCGTTGAAGTCACCAGTCAGGTACCAAGGGCCGTTTCTACTCATTCCTATCTCTGTGAGTTTCCGTAGGACTTCCCTACGATGTGCCTGCTCCGGGGCTCCATAAGTGAATGTCGCGTAAAAACTCTTGTTCTTATACATGATTTCAGTATCAATGAAGTTGTCGCACAAATAGAGAACTTGAAGTTTTATAGATGAATTCCATAACAAGGTTAAACCTCCTCCTCCAGGAGTGTGAGGTGGTACATGAACTTTCGAAGCAAAGTTTAGATCAGCAAGTTTATTATTCACCACCTCCGGGGGATTTTTTGTTTCCATGAGGAACAAGATGTCGGGATCAAAATCTCTCTTCAGTTCCCGCAATCTTTGAACTGTTATGGGATTCCCCAGCCCACAACAGTTCCAGCTCAGAATCTTTAAGGAAGAGAGCTGTGCGGACTGTGAAAATCCGCTGAGCTCTGCTTCGTACCGTTGCTCTCTCCTCTCTTCTTAGCCTTTGTCGATTTTGAAGTCCCCTCCCCCATTATCGCTGTTTTCCTTGTTGGCGGCTTTGGGGCTTGGGGTTTTCTACGCTGAGAGTGTCGTTTGTTCACCGGGCTTACTTCCAAGTTGTTAAGAGTAGAGTATGATCGCCTCTGGTGTGGCGAGTTTTGGATAACAACTTTCCTCTTTTTTGATCCTGCTCCCGCTAGTTGAGTCCGTCGAGGATTAGTCGTCGTCCTTCCAGGGGGTCTACCTCGTTTTTTCGGTTGCTGAGATTGGTGATGTTGCAGGTCCAAAACCCCCAGCTGGGGTTCCAGTGCCGGTGATTCTTGTATCTCCTGCCTCTCATTCTGTGGTAGTGATTCCCCTGATTTCTCCAGCTCGGCATAGAAAGCATGATTACTGGTTAGTTGATTCCCTTTAGTTAAGGCGTTCTCTAGCATTGTAGCCGCAGTCCTTGCCATAAGGTCGTTTGCTTCCCCTTCGAGTACTCTTTGCCTTCTTGCTGCACTTTCCACTGGATCAGGAACATTGACATATTTTTGTGTTACATTCTGTAGGTCTGTCATGATAGTTTCATGGAGGAGCTGCACTTCCTTTGACTGTATCTCCGGGATTTGCCTTGGTGTCGTAAAAGGAGTATTGACCGGACCCTCCTCACTGGGATTAACCTTTTCTTTCCATACCAGCTGCGCCTCTTTTGGTTTTTGACCGAACGTTAAGGACCGACGACGAGAATCAACCCGCAAGTTAGAGTTCTGTAGATTAAAATCAGCTGTATCAACTCTCTCTCTTGGGGAACTTCTTCTGTCTCTGCGGTAGGAGTGGGAGTCAGCAGGGGATCTCCCCCTTTCCAATGGGGTTCCTTCATCTTCGTAGACCTTTGCGTGGGTCTCAGACTTCTTTTTCCAAATATTCCCATTGTTATTCGCCGAGGGTCTCAGACCAAATGGTCTCCCATATCGGTCTAGTCGTTCGCTGAAGTTCTTTCGGCTCTGAAACTCCTGGTGTTTTTCCTTCCCTGACTGGCCTCTCTGTCGACTGTAGTGTTGGTGAGTTACTGCAGGTGGAGGACCCGGTAGATGTAGTTGTTTCCCATTTTGTGGCTCGTGTTGGTTTGCTGCTCCTCTGTGGGAAGACTCTTGGTCGCTTTGGCTTTGACATTGGTGTTCTTCGTGGAATAAGCTGTTGCAGAGCTGGCAGTGGTTTGCTAGCTTTTCATAATCAAGAGAGACAATAGTTTCCTCGCCTGAAGAAAATTCCACTATTGTTTCTTTGATCAACGGATTCATACCGTCAATTGTGACTCTGATTCGAGCCGCCATAGGGGACAGGTCAATCTCATCAAGTCGCCCTAGTTCCCTACCGATTCTGTCTAGCATCTCATGTCTCCAATAGTGGAGAGGCAGTCCCTTTAGTTTTATCCAGAAGGGAATTTTTGAAGGGTAGGTTGGAGAGATAACTGGTTCCCACTGTTGGATTATAACCATCCATCTTGCATAATGGTATGGTCTGTGCTCCAGAACATAGTTGAGGTCTTCCTTACTTTCAAATCTTACTTGGAAACAACCCTGACCTAGATCGGAACAAGATACTGCTCCTTTAGCGCTCCATCTTCTTGAAAGGAAAGGGATTAACTTCCAGATGAGTTGTTCCTTAGGGTTGGTCAGTCGTCCGATAAGGGTGAGTTCGTTATCTCGGATTGCCTGAGTAGTGTCGATCTCTGGAGCCCTGATGCGAAGAAGAGGAGCTTTTCCTTGATGTCTGTCGATTCCTTTGCCTTTCTCAGCGTATGAGAAGCGCCTTGCCATTGTTGTCCACTCTGTTTCTGGAAGGATGGTTGCTGAGTGTAGAAGCTTGCCGCCTGTTTTCTAGTAGCTGTGTGGGATTTCGTTGCTTAGCTGTAGTTGTAGCCGCAGTAGCTTGTTTGTGTATTCTCAAGAGTCTCTTCTAGACTAGCGTGGAGAGTTCCTGCAGGTGGGGAGTCGCATTTCTTCCCGGTGAGTAGAGGTGAGCGGTCCCTGTCATGCCTTGATGATGGTAGGGAGGAGCTCCGGCGGTAGACTGGACCCTCCGACCAAAGTCGGGGGTGGAACCCGGGAAAATTCGCCTCTAGCGGTTTCCTGATTTGAAAAAACGACTAAAAGGGGAAAGGAAACCGGGTTGGTGGAGAATGTCAGACTGGGTCAGTGATTAGAAGTTGAGCTAAAAGAGGAAAAACCGGTTAAGAGAAACCGTGGGAGAACTGTTTCCTGGTTTAGTTTAACTGTCTAGAAAAGCGTGCCTGAGAGAGTATGCAAAACTTGTACAATGATATATCGTGATATATAAACCCAAATAGAATTTATATCATATGCTGCATATTTATTGTATTGTGTTATACATAGTATGGAACCTTTATAAATAGTATAGAAGAGCAGTTTACTCCATTTCTATTAATTGGTATTATGTAAATACTAAACACCCAAAAAATATCCGACTTACAAAATCTAAACACTAATCAGTGATCTATAAACCCAAATAGAATTTATATAATATGCACAAATATATTGTACCGTAATATACATAGTATGGAATCATTAAAAAGATGAGCAAATACATACACTATTCTAGGAAAATAGTTGGAAGATAGCAAATACACAAAATAGAATGGACTATTCAAAGATGAGATAGTATAGTACCACACATCAAAAAAAGGGCTCAACGTCGAAGCACACCGTTAATGAAATTTCAGAGTCAAGATACCAAATCAGCAAAAAAAAAAACTGTTTGAAGTGGAATAGACTTGGGTTATTGGGAGGTGCTACTGGGGGGTTAACACCGTCGACTATGAGCTAATTTAAGAAGCAGATTACAAGTGGAAGTGCAAAGAATAGATCCGTTAGGGTAACACAATGACGGAGATATCATAAACACAAGAGAAGCAGGCGGAGGCGACAGACTTCTCAACTCTTTGACAGTAATCTTTCAACTTCTATGAAGGTATCAAAAGAAGTAAATAAAATATGGAGGAAGATAAGACACGTTATACAATTTTATGCCTACTAAATAAAATAAAATTATTTATGTGCCTGCAGGTTTAATCGGTGGAGAGAAAGGGTAAAACTGAATTATTATGTAAAATTAACGACGTCTATAGATCCGGTCTATAGATCCGTTAGGGAAAATAGTCAGATAGTAAATTAAGTTTTTTTTTGTGGTTATATAGCCCAATTTCCCAATATTTTTTATGAATAGTGTAGTAACCTCTGTCTCATCGGATGTGTGTGTAGTGATGAATAGGTAGTTTTACAAACATGGTCACATGTTTTTTTTGAATTACAAACATGGTCACACACATGTTCCAAACGTTTATGGATCATTGGATGTGCGAAGTATTGCAGAGCTGCAGTGTCATGGCATTTACTAGGAGTTGTCTTGTCTGCTAAGTTTCTAGTTTTTTCATTTCATTGACTTAACTTTTCTCTAAAAGTCTCCTTGACGTATTTACATGCAATACAATGCATTTTAATGCATATTTTGTATATGTAAATTTTGAATCTTTTGCAAAAAAAAAAAAAAAGAAAAGAAGAATTTCTTCTTACAGTATGGTGGTAGTAATTGTGGTCTACCTATCTGACGCACACTGTAAATCCTAAACAGAAACTAGTGTTTTAACGCTGAAACAGAACGAGAGTACGTACTAAACTGACTTCTCGTCCGTACTCTCTTCTCTCCCATTCGTCGTCTTTATTACCAATTCCCTGTACTCTGAAAACCCTAATGGCTAATGCTATTCATCACTCTGCAACCTTATTTGAATGATGTTGCTTTTCTACTTTCTATTGTTTTCACAAATTTAAGTAAAATTTATAGAAAGACGTAAGCAAATTCTAAATAGTATTGTGGTAGAGCTTCTGACCCGTTGGGAGGGTTCTCACTTACAAGTCAGAAAGAAAAGCCCTCACGTCCAGCTCACGAGCTTCGTTAGATCAAAACAAGACCATCATTGCAAATTTGTATTAATCAACCGGAGTTCATTAGTCAGTTAATCTCTCTTCAGTTTGGTGTGAAAACAAAGTAGCATTGTGTAAGCTTGTAACCTTCCATTGTTAGTGAAATAATGCGAGGTCTTCTCTTATCATTGGTTTGGTTGGGTGAACCCGTAATTAAGCTCATCATCTTGCTTGCAAAAATATTATATATTTTCCATCTATCAATATACTTTTCATCCCCTCAAATCGGTATAAGATGTCAAACGTAACATTAGGGAAGTATGAAACATGACCAAGTGAAACTACACATCATTCTATGGGAGTCACTTATACAAGACCAAGTTACACTCGAAGAAACAGAGGAGATCTATGAAACGTCTTAGCATGCAAGGAGAAAATTTGCCTAATTGAATATAACTGGTGTTAACTTAACTAGATTCCGTGATTCTATGTTTATTTTATGAGTTATTACTGCTCTTTTACACCTGCAATTACAAAAGATACTCAATACAAAGTGATTGACGTCCATCTTTAAAAGCAAGTCCCTTTTATAAATGAATTATTTCTCTGCTTTTAATGTTTCAGAACTTCAATTGTTCGTACCAAAGCATGAAGGGACTTCACTTGAAACTAATTAGTCCTACTAGACATTACTTTGTAGATGAAAAGATAACCAAAGTTTTATACCAAATAAATGAACGGTTGTTGTTGCAATTATAGAGTCGAAAGTTTTTTCTCTTTTACGTAAAACATGTGACATTGTACCAGAAAGTATATGCCTCTATATATGGCCATGGTGATTGGTGTATGAATTCTCCTTTCCTCGTATGAGACCAAGCGACTATTGAGGTGCATCGTACAGTACGAACGAGCTTTCGTTGGATCTTTTGGCTGACCAGTTTCCATGATAGGAACCATCTCCCAATAGCATTTTAGAGACCATTCCGTATGGTACAAGTAAGACATCCATTATAACCCCATACACATTCATTTCAATTGTCTTTTTCTTACGAGAATCTACTAAGTGAATAAAGAGAAGAGAATAACAACCTAGAAGTCTCACATTTGAAGCTTTCGTTGGATCTTTTTCTTGATTTTATGAAGCAAATTATCTAATTACTGTGCAATGTTTTTGTGCTAACATATCTTCACAACTTTCAACCCATGACGTCACTGTGAATTAATTATATATTGAAGATATTTTAAAGCTCGTTAGGAGACTCTAACCATGAAAAATAAGCTTCCAACAAGCTCATCAGTCATCACCAAGACATGCTATAACATAAAAATTAATAAATGTTATATTGAAAATTCAAAATATTATGTAGCCTGGAGCAAAGTATCAGTATTAAAAACGGAGATAGTAAGTGTTAATTCATAACTCAAAATTGTCATACTTTCTGGAGTGGAAAACTACTATATATTATGTATTATGTAATCTGGAACAAAGTATCAGTATTAAAAAACGGAGAGGGTAAATGTTAATTCATATAAGTCAAATTTGTTATACTTTCTGAAGTGGAAAACTACTATATGTGCAATTTGCCCACAAACCATCACCTAATTTTAGCAACTTTAATTCGTGTCACATGCTATCGTTGTTCTTAGGTTGTCACATATATCAAATCAGGTATTCATATACATACACACACACCTAATTATAGAATGAGTGGAAATCCTATGATTGGAGATTTGAAACTCCTAGATACTCTATTAGGCCATAATGCAACGAAATAGTTCTGCACTTTGAAAAAAATATATAGTTTTGCACTCTGAAATCCTTGATTAAACACCAGTGCCTGTGAATAAGAAAGAAAAAAGGATTTCCTTCATTTCCTTTCTTTTCAAGTAACAGTTTAGAAGTTGCATCGAGTTGACTTGGGAAACTGCACATGTGTTGCTCCTCTCTGTTTTGGAATCTCTAGAACTTTCAGCATCTTTATTTAGTGTCATTATTTTCTATTTTTAACACTGTTTATATCATAAATTATTTTCAAACTGTAATAGTCCATCGGTTAAAAGACCAAAGCTAACCGAATTACTGAACAGAAAAATATCGTTATGTTTGTTGAGGTTATGACGGATCCACCGATCCAGTTACATCCAATGCGTTTCCATGTTAGCCACAATAGATGTTTAAAGTGGCACGAAAAAAAAAACTGTTTTCATAGATTGCATATTAAACTATTACCAGCTCCAGCTGAGACGCAAAAATAGATAGGTAATGTATGAGACTGGTTGCTATAAATGAGCCTGCCTGAGCTTTTGTGGCATATGTTACATGATTCTTGGTGACTTAAAGACTTTTCCTCATGCTCTCTTTTGTCCCTTTCTCATAATAATATTTAGAGACTCTAATATTTAATGGCATAAACCCCATACTTAAACAGTGAGGACATGCACTCATCGTCATTAACTGGGGATGGAGTAGTGTCCTTTTCTAAGAAAAATCAAGAGAAAAAACAGATCTACTGAGATCATGTATGCCCCCCAGTTTCTAGTGTGATTATGTAAGAGAACAATCTCTCTTTCCTCCTCCACCTAATAATGCCAGAGACAGGAAATAAAAAGCATGAACAGGTTATAGTGCATCAATGAGAGGATTTAAATTGGAACTACTATTTGCGACAACAACCCATGTCTAATGGTTGTCCTTTGTAATGCAGCATTGTTGGGTCCTTGAGTATCCTACTCACCTCTCTCTCTCTCTCTCTCATAAAAATTAAGAAAGAGATAACACTTAAGCACATTAAAAAGAAAAACACACACACAGTTGGTCGTCCCCACCTTCTTTGTAGCAGCCCTACTTTAGTTGTTAGTACTTCCTCTGTCCACCGGGTTAGCTCAAATGTATAAGAATCTCTATAATAAAAAAAGTTGTTCTAGTTTATCAAAGGGAAATGGGAATGGACCCTAGCATTTGCACCTTGAGTTGAGCGGACCATGCTCTTGTCTCCTCTCTAATTGATCAGTCTCTTATCTTGCAAACACAGTAGCGGGCTCCTTCACTTAGCCATGACGTTCCAAACTCAGATTGTTGAAATAGATTTCTGGTAACTGAAACATCAGTTTATTATTTGTAGGAATGTAAAAAGGGTAATGAGTCCCTATATACCTTAATCTACTTTGATTGTTTTTTTTTTCTCTTTGGCTATATCCATATATACTTTGTAATTAAGTCATTAACTTGCAAAATGTTATCTCGTGTGATAATAATAGGAATGATTCTGGGGATTGACAGAGAGATTGTCATATCTGAAGCATGATTTTCATTACTTTATAAGAAGACAAGCTTTAAAGAAGAGCTTTTGTCTTGAGCGTTTTAACAAATATCTCAACAATGTAAAATGTTTTTAACAAAAAGTAAAAACTGAAAAGAGTGAGAAAGAGTTATCATATAATAGTTGATAATTCTAACACACCGATTTAATTTTCGTTTTATATATTAGATTTTAATTATGTAGTTAACATTAAAATAACTTAATATATTCATTTAGTTATGCTTTTATCTTTAATATTTTTTTATTTTAAGATATAACTATTTAATATAGACATTGGATTTATTTTTTACGTCATAACAAACTAATTTTGAACTCAAAATACCAGACTCTTTTCTTCTTTCTAAATAAGAATCTAACAAAGAAATATATGTTACATTGAAAAGTCGTGTGCTTTTAAATAGTTATAATTCTTTACTCAATCTTTATCATTTACAAAAAAAAAATAGTTATAACATGAATTTCCGTATAAGGTCGAAACAATCGCACATATTATTTTGCGCTGTTATTCTTAATTTGCACCTAGCTTTTTGTCATTAATGTAAATAATCTTTACAGTAATCACTCAAATAGAGAGTTTTTGTTTGCTTTGTGGTAGAGGAAAGTAAAAGTAAATGTTGCCCTACTGTTTTCTCCTATGAAACTTTCTTATCTTTGACTTTCTCCTTTCTCTCACTTTCCCATCATGTCTTTTACACATTGATTTTCTTATTTGTATATGTTGTTATAACTTGCGTTCCAAAAAAAAAAAAAAAAGTATATGTTGTTATAACTTATAAAAAGAAAGTTGGGTTCTAATTATAGAACATGTATAGCCAATCCACTACAAAAGATAGAAACAGTGATAACGAATAGCTTTTGCATTACATCCCTATAGTAAGTTTTGAGCATACATGTCACTTCTGATTTGATTGGCTAGCAACTGTGAAACAAAAAACTAACAAATATAAAAACATCATTATTCAGAATTTCTTAGGAAAAGTTATTAATAAAATATAAGAAATTGTTTCTTAATTTTTAACTAAAAAGTTAAAAATTATTTCTTAAAATACTTGGACAGAGTTCTTAGAGCACCCCCATCAAAGGATGATGGGGGAGGTTCACACACATACCTAGAAAAAAAAACAATAAAATAATGTAAAAGTTGTGAACCTGGGCTTCAGAGTTTCACTGCCATGAACCTGGTTCACTACTGTTTCGTGGGCCCCACGCCACGTGGCGGCCCACGATTGGTCACTTTTTTTTTTTTTTTTTAAAAAAAGAAAAAGATAAAACGAAAATAAAAAAAAATAATAATAAAAAATTCAGTTTGTGAACCCCAAGTGGGGGTTCACTGATGCTGATGCCCTTAGGGTCTTATATTTTCCTAAGAACTCTACTCTAAAAATCATGGATAATGATGTTTAAATATGTTTTTAATTAGTTCATTTTAGTATATTTTAATCATTATGAATGTTGTTCAACCCTGTGGTTTAGGCGTTGGTTTATGCTAAAATATTATTATATTACTCCATTTGTTTCATAATATTTAATATTTTAAGATAGTGTACAACTATTAAAAACATTATTTTTATCTAAATATTTAATTAACATTTTTTTTTAAAAAAAATCAACCAATTACAAAATAGACTATATTAACTTATTGATTGCACAAATTTTGATAAAGTAAAAAATACATTAAAATATAGAAACATCATCTATTTTGAAACATAAAAATTTTACATAGACATCACTATATTGAAACGGATGGAATATATTTTAGTGAAATCTAACTAATATAAGTATGTTGTTCGACCTCTCCTTATGCATCCACCTCATCGTCCAATCCCCATGCATGTAACTGAGATTTGTTTCGCGCATGCGATTAGTTTGGCTACAAATGCAAAGGCTATAGCCGATTCAGTAGTAGCTGGTGCACTGTGNATCGTCCAATCCCCATGCATGTAACTGAGATTTGTTTCGCGCATGCGATTAGTTTGGCTACAAATGCAAAGGCTATAGCCGATTCAGTAGTAGCTGGTGCACTGTGAGTTACATATGGATCCATAGGAACTGGGATACTACAACAAAACATGACTTTAACAAAGAAAGTTTACGAGGAAAATAACAACGAAATTTACGAGTTTAGTAATACTCTAAAGAGTTGCTTAAGTGGGCCATTGTGATTATTTAACCATTATCATTAAGCTAAGGGACTTTGTTAAGATACAATTAATTATGATGGTTTATTAGTAGTTTCTTAATTAAAGTTCTTAACAATAAAAAAATATTAAATTTAAATTTAAACATTTTTTTAATAAAAGCTAAAATTTATTATTAAATGAAACAAAGTCAAACATAACCTCTTAAACATAGATTTGAAAACAAAAACATAAAAATATGAAAATAAAGATAACTAAAATAAACGATAATAATTTGAAAGCGGCATCCAAGTTTAGTTGTTGTTTTGATCATGTCTAAATTTATGCCATATATGCTCAACCAAATCACGTTTCAGTTTTTGATGCGCTTGTTTATCACGAAGTCTTATGCGAACACCCATCTGATTGTAGATATTTGTAGGGGTATCTGTTGAATATGTGAGGTCGACATGTGAACTTCCGCTCCCTTCTCCTTGTTGGAAATCCG